TCCTTCCTTCCTTCCTTCCTTCCTTCCTTCCTTCCTTCCTTCCTTCCTTCCTTCCTCAAACCATGAGGACTGGAGGCTTTATTTTTAGGGAAAAGGCTGTGACTCAGTGGGACAGTGCATGTTTGCAAATGCCTGGCTTTCATTCCCCAGGATTTCCAAACAGAGCTGAAGAAAGACCCCCATTTCAATTCCTGCTGTTAGCGTGGGTAGCAGTAGACTGGGCGGAGTAGTAGCCAACGGTCTTGGTGTAAAGCTGATTCCTATGCATCTCTCCCTTCTTCTGGAGATTGAGCCCTGCCCACCAGGGAACGTGAAAAGTAACTGGGCTCCACCAGCCTCTGACTTCATCCCTGTCATGGTATCTCTGCACATTTTGCACCTCTGCATTAGATCCTCGCAGGTTGCGCTTTGGAGTTCCTTTACAGTGTTTTCCTTTTATTTCAGGCAGTTGCCAGGCATCAGTGTTCCTACCTGGTTGGCTTCCATATGGGGGAGTTTCTGCAGGTAGGAGGGGATCCAGCCTGGCTGCGGGGTTTGCAATATGCCCCGCAGAAACTCAGGAACCTGAATGAAATCAACAAGATTCTAGCCCACCGGCCTTGGCTGATCACCAAGGAGCACATTGAGGTGAGTTGCCAGAGTTGTGGAAAGTGGGTTGGAGAAGTTATTTTTGTTTCATGCCGTTGAAAGATAGCAAACATTCCATTTTCCCATCTTTTTTTAAAACCAGTTTGTTAAGCATGCATAGCAGCTTGGTTCTTTCAACACTAAGCCATAAACTATCATTTACAATCCATAGTGCCTGGGTTCATGTGACATACTAAGACAAAACCAAATAAACTAAATTATAGTGTTGCTCAAGGGGGGAGCCATCTCAATAGTTGGTGCGCCTTAGATTCTGGTTGAAGCAAATCATTTGGGGAACTTCCGTGGTTCATTTGACCTTTGTAGATAGCTTTGTTTCTTCCCTAAGGAGACAAACAAATCATGATTTGGGAATACTGTTTCATTTTGCTTCCGGCAATATTCACTTTCAGCCTTGATAAAACTTTGGCCAAATTTAAGCAGAGGATATGGACCAAGATATCCAGTCCAATGGAACAGAGTTTCCCGTCTCCTTCATAATGCAATTTACCTCTTCTCCTGGAGTATCCCTAAATATTTTTTAAACATTTTACATGTCTTACATAGGAGATTTTTCTTTTCTCCGTGGCCTGAATTGATACACTACACATAGGGCAGTGTTTCTCAACCTTGGGAACTTGAAGATGTGTGGACTTCAACTCCCAGAATTCCCTAGCCAGCCAGGCTGGGGAATTCTGGGAATTGAAGTCCATACATCAAGTTCCCAAGGTTGAGAAATGCTGCATTAGGGTGATTGATCCATCACTATCTTCACTCCTCCTCTGTCTTTATCTGCGGTATTTGATGCATTTTTTTAAATTGGCCTTGGACTGTAATCAAATAAACTGAAAGTAGTATCCACATAGCATTAAAACCATAATGTGGTTTGCTTTATTGTGAAAGGTAAATAGAATTAGTAAATAAACCATGGTTTGGATGAGGCAGTAAACCTCACTTTGAAATTATGTTTTGCTGCTAGCTTCCTGCTCATAGCTGTGATTTACTGCAATCTGCAGTTAGGATAATTTATGATTTCCTGGCCTATTCCTGGCTTGTCTTCATGTCTTGTTCAAGCTTCTCAACAATCCAGAGATGCTTAGAAGAGAAGAGAAGCTTAAATAAAAGGAAAACAAACCAGAAATTGTCCAAAGAAGCCATGATTATTTGGCCAGCAGAACCAGGATAATGCAAATATATCATTGGGAATGGGCCAAGGACTGTATTGGAATTGCAATTTATTCTGAGTTACAATCTTTTTTTTCTTTTAAGATTTTTTTATCCTGCCTTTCTTATGTTTATAAATAACTCAAGGCGGTGAACATGCCTAATACTCCTTCCTCCTCCTATTTTCCCCACAACAACAACCCTGTGAGGTGAGTTGAGCTGAGAGAGAGGAGGACTGGCCCAAAGTCCCCCAGCTAGATGGGGACTAGAACTCACCATCTCCTGCTTTCTAGCCGGGTGCCTTCACCACTAGACCAGACTGGCTTTTCTCTGGCTATGGCCTCTGTCAAGTAGGAAGGATGAAGACAGAAATCTGTCGCTGAAATGGCAGAACCTCCTCCAGCTCACGCAGCCTGAGGTCACTCTTGGGAAGCAGAGGATCCCTACCTCAGGCCTCAAATGGAGTCTTAACAGATCAATGTTTGGTTCAGTATAAAAAGGCTCTTTATCTTACTTTATTTTAACATTCCTCAATTCACACGGCATGCTAAGGAATGGATTAACTATGGTTTATTGACAAGTCACGGACAGTATTTGCAGAGTTTACTGAGTGAAGCAACCATGACTCAGGTTAGGGTTAGGCTGCCTGTCACCGCCTCCATTTCTAGCTTTAGAGGAGGACCGTGGTCTTGTCTCTGATGCCTAGAGCTGAGAGATCTTTGGGTTTGTTTTTTCCAGGCACTGCTAAAAACAGGGGAAAACAGTTGGTCTCTAGCCGAACTCATCCAGGCCCTGGTCCTTCTGACCCACTACCACTCGCTGGCCTCCTTCGTGTTTGGCTGCGGCATCAACCTAGAGATTGACCAGGAAGCAGGACACATCTTCCGACCACCTTCGCCACGCAGTTGCGATAGCAGCCCCAGCTCGGAAGATGGGACGAACAGTTCCAGTGTAAGCTGATTGTGGGGAATGGGGTCCTCTTCTTTTTTTACAATGCATTAGGGAGCTCTTAAAATTGAAGAAAAACTGGCCCAAAAGGGTTGGGGGAGAACAGACCATCTTCCAAAGCGAAGCTGAAGTATGCAGTCACAATGCCTTTTCCCGGGAAGCTGGACAATATTGCTGATTTTTCCACGACTACTTCTCCTCCTCCTCGTCCTTCTACCAGAACAGTCACACCATAGTGTAGTTAGTGATGATATGAGATTAATGACTGGGGAGACCAAGGTTCAACCTCATTTCCAGCCACTGAAAGTGATTTGGAGCCAGTCATTCCCTCTCAGCCCAGCCTACCACCCTTGACTGACAACCTGCTTTTTTTCCACAACAACAATCGACCAAACCAATAAATAATAAGATGCCGCAAATGGATAGGCTTCTTCTGTCTTCTGCTGTCTGGGGGCTGGATTCAGGCACAAGACTGGAGTTCGCAGAACTCACGTAGAATCCACCAAGTTATGGCTTAGCACAGCATGTAAACCCCACCTGCCAAGTTGTGCTTAAAGGGAGAGTCTTTATCATTTGCAAAGCCAAGATGAACTCTGAGTGAAGTGCAAGGCAAAAGCAATTGGCAGAAACTCAGTAATTTACTATTATCTGGTGGTTAGAGAGAAAGGGAACTCTGAAAAGTCCTGGTTGGTCTTTGCTTAGGCGCTGGGCAAACTTGCAAGAATTTCTTGGTGAAGCAGTTCGGGGGTGGGTGGGGTTGTTTTGTGGGTTTTGTTTTGTTTTTTTTTGAGCGGGGAGGTCCAAAGAGTATGGCATAAGGTTTAGAGAAGAAGGATGCATTCTTACAGAGAAGGCAGAATGTGGATAGTTGGGACCAGTCTGCTTGTTTCCCCCCTACTCATCCCCATCAGGGTTTAACCAGTGGTAGAAGAGTTTAAGAGATGGTACAGGCAGAACATAGTCATGCAGCTGTGCCCCAGAATTGTGAAGCAAGGCCTGTGGGTCCATCTGCCATGGATCGGTGCCTGAAATGACCTCCCTGTCCTCACTTTTTCAGAGTACAGATGCTATGGAGGATGTGGAAGTGCTGATGGAGAGGATGAAACTGCTACAGGAGTGCCAGCTGGAGGAGGAAGGCGTCACCCAGGAGGAGATGGAGACCCGCTTTGAGATGGAAAAAAGAGAGAGCCTGCTTGTGACTCCCTCAGGTGAGGCAGGGCCAAGCTCCTGAAGAGAGCTGAGACTTCCACCGATCCAGACCTTTAGTCAAACAATCTGGTGGAGAATGGCTTGGAGAACTTCTGGTCTGTAAGCTTCATCCAACTCCTCAAAAGCCCAACCAAGCCTTTTTGGTGGCATCACATCATGGTTTATGTGTGTTTGTTTTGGCTCCTTTCTCCAGTAGACACTGCTGAACACTCCCTGCCCCCCAATGTCCTGTGCTTTGTGGAGGATCCAGAGTTTGGCTACAAGGATTTCACTAGGAGAGGAGAGCAGACGCCTCCCACTTTCCGAGCCCAGGTACCATGAGTCACGCTTTGGATGCGTGCTTATCCCTGTCCCCAACACTCTCAAAAATCCCACGACACACACTAATCAAAAGGTGGATCATTTCGTTTTCGCTTAATATGTTATGTGGAATCCAGCCTTTGGTTTTATGAACTATGGTTCATGGTTTAATACTAGATGTGAACCAGGTTATAAACCATGGCTTAGCACAATAGTTTGCACACTGTGGTTTATAGTTTAGCTTTGGGTATAAATCTAGCCATAGTGACTTCCTGGATGGTATTGGCTTGAAGGAGATGTTACCTTTTCTGTAAAACTAACCTTGGTTTAGTGCAGTTTGTGGATCCAACCTTTATTTCACCTTCTACAGGACTATACGTGGGAAGATCATGGCTACTCGCTTATCAACCGCCTGTATCCTGATGTGGGACAACTGCTGGATGAGAAATTCCAGGTGGTCTACAATCTGACCTATAACACCATAGCTATGCACAGTGGGGTCGACACGTCCATGCTCCGGAGGGCTATTTGGAATTACGTCCACTGTGTCTTTGGCATTCGGTAGGTTGATTGAGCGTCTTATTTTTTCGATCCCTCCTGCAATTCTTTTTCTTCACATTTGGTGGATTTTGGTAAACTATGTCCAGACTTTTCCCTTTGCCTTGCTTTTCCATGAACCAATTACCAGTGTCCGTCCTTTTTTTCTAACTGGCTGATTAACCCTTGGAAACCAGAGAGCCTGCTCTACCTGTAGTGGCAAGCGTCCAGACTTTTCCCTTTGCCTTGCTTTTCCATGAACCAATTACCAGTGTCCGTCCTTTTTTTCTAACTGGCTGATTAACCCTTGGAAACCAGAGAGCCTGCTCTACCTGTAGTGGCAAGCCATGGCTGTCTAGGGAGAGGAGTTTGGGTCTACAACTTCCCTTCTCTTCTCCCCTGCTCTGCATAGCTAGTTACTTTCTGGTTTTAAATCATTATTTGCTGGTTCAGCCATCCTCATCCAACTGGCTGAGCTATTGTTTGCCAGTATGTACAAAGCAGTAGAAGGTTTGCCTCAGAGCAGGAAATAACTGAGCAAGCAGAGTGTGCAAGAGATGGACTGAAGCTGTGAGTCCAAAGTTCAGTGTGTAACTCAAAACCATGGCTTGGCACTGCAAGTGAACAACTGGCTGAGCATCCTTGTCCTGTCAAACTAATTGCCTGGGGAAAAACAATTGTGTGCGGTTTGGCCAGGTGAGTCTAGAGTGGATGGCTATGCAAGGACCATGGCAATTGGTGTGACTAAAGGACTGAGTCATCTAATTTATGGAAGGTAGGAAGTAACACACGCTCAAAGGATGTGGGAAAACTTGTCTTCTTATTGCATATGTGTGAACTGAGGAATTCCCTTACAGCAAGGACTAAGCAGCCAGTGGACCTCATACAGTCTCCTCCTCCATTTGTTATAGTTTCAGAAGGCTCCCTAGATCAGCCCACTAAAATGTAATGAAGAATCACTGATTTTGGACTATATTTTTCTCCTTCTTTAATTAAACCTTTGCTAGTTTTAATGAGCCTGTTTTCCTAGGAAGCCCCATGGACCAAAAATTCAGCCTCACCCATTCCATTGATGCCTCTGCGTCACAGGTTACAGCTCCTTAGAGATCTAATTTTTATTTTTCAACTTAAAAAGAAATCACATGTCACCCTTCGCTACCCCCTCCAAAAACACACACACACACACAAAAAACAAAACAAAAAACCAACCCTTGCCCCCCACCCCTTGCCTTAAAGAAAGAAAGAGGAATGACGCAATTGTTGGCTTGCTGGGATTAAAGGCACAATTTCTCCTAACCACTTCTCTTGGCCATCTGCTTTGCATGAAGAAGCTCCCAGTTCAAGCTCTGGCACTACAAGGTTAAAAAAAAATCTTGTGGTTGGGCTTGGCAGGAACTTCTTTATCCAAGATAATAGAACTGGCATGGGCAATCCACAGCTCTAGGGCTCTTGAACTAGACTCCTGAATTACTTTCAGAAGTCCTCTGCAAGCAATTTCTCCATGCTTCCTGCACAAGAAGATAGATGAGAAGATGGTTCAGAAAATGCAAGAGAGAAAAACAGAGGTGTAAATACAGAAAATAAGTGGTACCGTTGCTTCCTTACATTTCACCTGGTATTGATGCTCTGCTTCCAGTTGACCGTTTCCAAGGAAGACAGTACTCAACCTAAAAAAAATGACTGCTGAATGCTGATTTAGAATTCTGCTGCCCACCCAGCCTTCCCCAACACGGTGTCTTGCAGAAGACAACAGGCTGGGTCCCCCATGCATCTCAGCCAACGATCAAGGGCCTTGTGCGTTATAGCCCAGCATACCTAAAAGGTGTTGGGGTTGTAAAAGGTTGATCATCTGGGCTTGCAGATCAATTGTAAAGCCCATGTCTCATCTCTTTGCAGGTATGATGACTATGATTACAGGGAAGTGAACCAGCTTTTGGAGCGTAGCCTGAAAATCTATATCAAAACCGTAGCCTGCTACCCAGAAAAAACCACTAAAAGAATGTACACTCATTTCTGGAGACACTTCAAACATTCGGAAAAGGTAAACCAAGTTGCACTGGGCTCGGGGTTGTTTTGCTTTGGTGGCTTCCACACTCGAATCGCTGATTGACCCACCTTGGGTTAGCATGTCACATGAAATGAGAATGTGCTTTCTTTGCTTTTTGGCTTAGCCTGCTAGATGAACTCAGCCACTGCAGTATGTAAATCCCAGTTTATGGTTTAACACAGTGTTTTACAAACTGGGAAACTTTAAGATGGGTGGACTTCATCTCCCAGAATTCCCCAGCCAGCCATG